TGTCCTTCTTTCCTCTCCGTCTTCTCTCCACCTCTCTTCCCCAGACACCCCCACTGTTTCTCTCTTCCTGTTTTCTTAGTTTCTTCCCTCTGCTCCCCGGTGGCCAGAGCACCCATCAGTCATAGCTGCTGTCACAATCTCGCTTCTATCTGTAGCTCCTCTATCTCCGTTATTACGCCAGATAGGAGCCGCCTTTCCAAAAGACAGACAATCTCCACAGTAGCCTGTGGGAGGCTGCCTGGTGAGGTCAAGTCTGTCAGTAAGAGCATTTCCTCGCAGCTGCAGGGCTTGGGAGAGCAAATGGACAGCGAGATGCACGCCTTTGCTGGTGACACACTGAAGTTGTTTTGCTCTGCAAAAACATGGGAAAATTCTGATAAATTCCAGATGATGTCAAAACACATCCGAGGGTCAGATATACAAAAGGCAGATAGCATCTAAACTAGGTAAGTACAAGTTGATGCACAAATCTCTATTTGGGTCCAAACATCTTGCAGATTGGAAGGCTCTAAATTTGACAATTCCCAGTTAGGGAGGATAAAAATTGAACTTTGCTCTCCTTAAACCCCAAGCCATTATGAGAAGAGAGGGGTCACTCAAAGCTGAAGTCGAACAGCTAGTAAAAAACAGAAGGAGGGGTGCCTGGGTAGCTCAGTGGGTTAAAGCCTCTGCCTTCGGCTCAGGTCATGATCTCAGGGTCCTGGGATCGAGCCCTGCATTGGGCTCTCTGCTCGGCAGGGAGCCTGCTTCCTCCTTTCTCTCTGCCTGCCTCTCTGCCTACTTGTGATCTCTGTCTGTCAAATAAATAAATAAAATCTTAAAAAAAAAAAAAGCAGAAGGAAATGGGCATTATGAAGGAGCATTAGAAAGGTTTTTAATCCAGTGAAGAAACTGGAAGAGCTGGAAAGACAAGAGTGTATAAGTGATACACATCATTGTGCTGCAAGGGGGGTTTATCTTCACAGCGTAGTCCAACATACCTGTTGCCTCATCCCTGTTTGAGGAAGACAGGAGCCATGTTGGTGCTAAGGGCGGGGACAGAGCAGCTTTTCCCTACACTTTACACCTGTGACCCACAGGTGTCAATATTCTCGGGGGTCATCGAGCTAGCAGAGCTGTATTTTATGCAGTTCACAAAGCTATTGTTTTTCCTTTTGTTCTCTCACATTTTAGTTTAAATTTTTCAGACCTGTAGAAAAGTTGAAAAAAGCATAAAGAACACTAACCTAACTAATTTCACCAATAGGACCTTCTCTTAGATAACGGTCACATCGTTCATACTCCCAAGATACTCAGCATTGATATGCTATTATCTAATTAAAAAAAAAGCATACTTTATTTTATTATTTTCTAAAGTCTTTATTTATTTAGGGAGAACAGGCAGAGGGGCAGAGAGAGGGAGAGAGACAGAGACTCTCCAGCAGACTCTGCGCTGAGCCCACAGCCCCATGCGCAGCTCGATCCCCCAGCCCTGAGATCGTGACCTGAGCTGAAATGAAGAGTGGGACGATTCACCCACTGAGCCACCCAGGTGCTCCAGAAAGCCCCAAATGTCTCTGCAATATTTTTTTACCTTTCGTGACATGGATAATTTTGAAGAGTGCAGGCTAGTGCTTTTTAAATGTCCCTGTAACCTGTATTTGTCTGATTCTTTCTTTGTGATTAGATTCAGGCTAAACGTATTTGCCAAAAACACTATGCACGTGATGGGGCGTGCTTCCCTCGTAGGAGAAGGCAGTGCTGTCTCTTTGTCCTGGTGTTGGTGATATCAAGCCTGATCACTTGGTTCAGGTGGTGGCTGCCGCATTCTCCATTGTAGAGGTCTCATTTTCCATTGTGTTTGAGTCGGTTACCGCAAGGGGTTTAGCAGGGTGTTAATATTCTAATTTTGCATTCCTTTGGTCTATCTTAGGTGGAATCCTTAGTCTTACACCCAGGTTTCTCCGGTGTCAAAGTTCATGTTCCTTCTGCTGCAGGAGCTCCGTCTCTACTATGTAAACAAATGAAGGGAGTCACCGGAAACTGCTGGGACGATAAAGCATTTTCATTTCATCTCTTGCTTAGAGCTCCATCCTTTTTCGTCTTGGCAAAAGCAGACCCATTCTGGAACTTTGAATCCTACTTTAAAAAAAAACAAAAAACCAAGACTCTAGCACCTGCAGAGCTATTTCCAGGGCTCACATGTAAAGGAACTTATCTAAAGAGGTAGAGAGTGTCCAAATCAGCTTTTCTCCCTCAGTCAGCCTCACTGATATTATCCCACCTCTTTTTTGGGGAGAGTGGGGGGGGGTCTAGATTATATTTCTTTTCTCTTTGCTTCTTTTTTTTTTTCTTTCTTTTCTTTTTCCTTCCTTTCTTCCTTCCTTCCTTCTCTTTTTTAGTGACAGAGCTGGATTGAAGAGTTTGGTGCAAATTGTGCCATTCTTTCTTGAGCGAAGATTGCTGGACCTCTTTGGGTAAGAGGAAAGGCAGGGTCCGTAAAGCAGCCGGCAAAGACCTTGACTCCACTACCTTCACGGAGAGTTGCAGACATACCTTCCAGAGGTGCCAAAGGGAAGGCAGGGGCCCTAGAGCGGGGACAAAAGGGAGCAGGGACCCTGTGAGCCTTGCTGGCTGCGGACACTGGGAACACATACGACATGGTCGAGCTGAGAGGAAGCCCTGGTCAGAGGCAGAATTAGACTTTCTCATCTTTCCCGGTAGCTGCCCTCCCTGAAAGTCTCTATGCTTTGAGGAAATTAGAGTGGATAGATTCCCGCGTGAGGCGGCTGGGAAAACGCCCAGTGAGAATTCCCTAATCTACCTCTGTCCCTTCTCCTTGTCCCATTAAGGGGCAGGGGCGCATCTAGTTACGAGTATACTTTGGTTTGTGAGTCCCCGGTGGTGTCGGGGTTAGCCTGTCAGGGTTACAAACACTAGAAAAGCCCCCTCAGATTAAAGCACAAAATATTCTCTTTGTTTGCCATCTTTGTACTGTTTAACATGAGTATTTCAACAGTCTTTATTTTCCAAACATGCAAACAGGGGAGAGTGATCTGACCCACAGTATATTGACATGTCATGTAGCTATAACCTTGAGATAAAAAGTAAAGGAAAAAGTCAAAACAGCCCAAACCAAATACTAACACAAACAAGTCTTTCTTCAGCCCAGACCTCTTCCCTCTGTCACAGGGGAACACACGAGCATTGGCACACAGCGGTGTGGTGGACACGTAGCTCAGCGGGGGTGGGGGGGAGGCGGGCACAAGTGCCAAGCTGGAAGGTCTAAAGTGGTCATTCATTAATTCAACAAATGTGTATTAAGTATCTACACCGGGCCAGACACAGGTCTGGGCGCTGGGAACGTCTTACACATTGAGGGGATGCATAAGGCTTGGAAAGCCTCTATCCTTGTGGAACCGACCTAGTGGCATGAGGAAGAAAGAGAGAGAGAATATACTCCTGCAGTGTCAAGAGGAGATGGGAAATCACAGCTAGAGCAGAAAGCCTGAGCTGCTTTCCTGGGTTCTGTACATCCAGGAAACCAATGGCTTCAAAATCGAGGTCCCACGGTGGAATGGCTATCAAAGGCAGAAAGACAGAAAGAAAAAAAAAAAAAAAAAAAGCAGAGAATCTGAGAGCAGCTTCCCTCCTCACTGAACAGGGAAGAGTCCTTTGGGAGCTGCATACGATGCAGTAAGATGATAAGATGATGCCTAAAAGCAACAGGAATGACAGCGCCCCTGTCCCATGTTGAAAGAACTCCAAAGATGGCCCGCCCTGTGTAAGAATAGGCAAAGGACCGTGATGCAGAGCTCGATGCTAAGCATTTCACGTGTATTGTCTCATTTACTCTTCTCAATCACCACCTGGTGAGAAAAGGCTAAGTTTATTCCCATATGAAAAAACAAACCTAGAAAGCTAAGTAACTTGCCCTTCTCCAAGGTCACGTACCTGGCACATAATGGATCCTAGGTCTGTCTCATGCCAAAATCCATGCTCTAAACCACTGCATTTCCATCCCTAAAATTAGTTTTCATCAACTCATTGAAGGGAATAGCCATTAATATTGAACAGGAAAATTATTCAGATATCTTCAGAAAGTGGTCTGTGTTCTCAAGATACCGTCTTAGTACAGAAAAACATGTCCTAAGAGTCTAAAGCAAATATGTACCACTTTCTCAAATGTGTGAGAAATTAAGAAATCAACTTTTACAGTTGCTTAAATGTACATAAGCCCAACATCTAAAATTTGAATTATAACTCAAGAATGATTATAGATCTGTATTTTATTAAACTAATTACTCCTCAAAGTTTATTTTACAACTACATACACTTCCATCTTTGTCCTCTACTTGATGATTGAATTAATAGTAACATAAGGTAAAGCTGGTTTCACGAAAACAAGACAGAACTCCATAATGAAGCCTACGCCTCTTTGGGAATGAAACCATGTCAAAAATCTGTACCAAAAATTCAAAAATAATTGTAGTAGAATTGAACTTTGAAAGATGGGGAGAGATCTTGTTTTTGCTCTAAATCATCTAAATTAAATATAATGAAAAGTGATCAGAGTGCTTATTTTTACTTTGTTTTGTGGGAAATTGTGCTGGGAATGTGAATCTATTGTGCACAAAGGATGTTGGCTTTATGCTGGAACCACCAGGCAGGTTGAGTTGAGAAACAATTAGCTCAGTCAGCAAGCCTTTGAATCTGATTAAGCCAGGAAGTGGGCACTCCCCACCACAGGGCAGAATGAAGGGAATGGAGGCGGTAATCCAAAACAAGGAATGATTTCTCTCTCTCTTTCTCACTCACTCACTCTCTTAGTAAACTAGTATTAGAATTTATTGTACCAAATTTATGTCAAGGATTATTTCATTACATGTTATTATCTTTGGTGAAACAAACAGAAGCTTGTTTCCAAGTAGATCAACAGTCCACATGTGTCATGGCTACTGTCTCTAAGAAACTTCTGTTTACTGAGGCTTCACATACCCTCATGTTTTGGTAACAAAACATCTTTGAGATCGAGGACCAAGTCACAGAGGAAAATGCAGAGCCTACACCAGGCTGCTGGCCGAATTCTCATTTCCCTGGGGGCTCTCAGTGTATTCTCTGGAGTTATCGCTTTCTTCCCTGTCTTTTCTTACAAGCTTTGGTTCACGGGATGGAGTGTCTGGATTGCTTGCCCCATCTGGAATGGAGCTTTGGTAGGAAAATATTTTATTACATATATTGGGAGAAGGAAGAAAGAAGGGAGGGAAAGAAGAAAAAGAATAACATGGTTTCCAACAATACGGAGAAGTCCAAAATCAACAGAACATTAGAATTTACCATAGAACGTTGATTTCCATTTGTTGCCTCTCAAATGTAGAATCTTTCTTGATATCATTTTATCATATATACCATCATGTGTACTATAATGAAATGCTGTTCAAGAAATTCTTAAAAAGTTATTTTAATCTTCTCACCTTGGTATTCTGAGAAACTGAAATCTCTCCCATAAAACTTGAATTAAAAAAAAAAATGTGAACCATAAAAACATGTAAAAATGGAGAACAAAGTAAAATAATTTTCAGACTAATGCTTTCCCTAGAAACACTGAGGTGTGTCAATCTGATCCACGATTTGCAAGCCCCAAATCTTAGTTTTCCCACAGTTGTCCTTGTGAACAACTGTTTGAACTGAAAGTCATTCAAGAAGTTGGGTGAGGTACCTCTCCAACATCGCAGTTCATTAGGAAAGAGTACACGGGCCAAGTACAAGTATAATGACTGCACCAATGAAGGCTGTTCTGGTACCCCAGCTCTCTGGGTCAAAGAAATGAACACATCTAGCCTTGCGAATAGATGTCTTCCATGGTGGTATGGTTTAAGACGAGTTACAGAGCCTTGCCACAAATCCTTCTCTCATCGTTTCCTGTGATGCCTGACATTCAACATCGGAGACTAGAGAATTTCGACTTTAGAGCCTTTGATCTTTAGTTTTCTACTAAAATGTAGCCATTCTTTTTTTTTTTTTTAAGATTTTATTTATTTATTTGACACACAGAGAGAGCGCAAGCAGGGGGAACAGCAGTCAGAGACAGAGGGAGAAGCAGGCTCCCCGCCAAGCAGGGAGTCCTAGGTGGGGCTCGATCCCAGGACCCCGGGATCATGACCTGAGCCAAAGGTAGACGGTTAACCGACTGAGTCACCCAGGTGCCCCTAAACGTAGCCATTCTTGAGAAAGGCAACCTTTTAAGTCTAAAAAAAAAAAAAAAAAAAAAAATCCAACTTTAACTGGGATATCACCTAAAAGTAAGACCCTAGAACATATCATTTTTCTCTATTTATTAAATAAATATGTATTGACAGCCTACTGCATGCTTGAGTGGCAATGGTAAAAGAAACAAACAAAAGGTCTCAGTTTTTTAAAAATTCCATCTAGTGGGGTTCAAGGATGGTGAGTAGATGGAGAAAGCAGAATGGTGGGAGTGTGGAAATGAATGAGGAAAGCGTGGGATGGTGTTTTTTTTTTTTTCTTTCCTAATACATTCTTTTACATCTACCTCCCCAGTCTTCCCCATCTGCTCTTTTTCCCATCTCCTGCCTGAGCCATACATTCATTCAAAGAAATATTTATTAAACATCTACTGGAGGGATGCCTGGGTGGCTCAGTCATTAAGTGTCTGCCTTTGGCTCAGGTCATGATCCCAGGGTCCTGGGATCAAGTCCTGCATAGGGCTCCTTGCTCTGCAGGAAGCCTACTTCTTCCTCTCCCACTCCCCCTGCTTCTGTTCCCTCTCTCCCTGCATCTCTGTCAAATAATTAGCTAAAATCTTAAAAAAAAAAAAATCTACTGGAATGCAAAGATGACAGTTACATTTATCCAAGCACCTGCCACACTTTCCATTGATGACCCAGAGTAAGGAAAACCTTTTACATCAGGACCTAGAATGTACATAAATACTTCTCTATAATTCTCTCTAGGTAAATAGATAGGTTTTGATAAATACATATAACTAAATATAACAAAGTTTCACAAAACAATATTTAGCCTTCTGTGTGAAATGAAGTCCGATATTTTTCTATTCTATTATTTTTTTTAACTCTGACTTCAGAACTGACCCAAAGTTAAACAAAACCACAATTAGAGTCCAACTCTGTGTCCCTTTTTCTAAATTCTATGTCTGTCCCTGCTATCTATCATAGAACATTCAACGGAGACTGAGATTTAATTAGGAGAAAAAATTATTGAATATAGGCTTATTCTATACCAATATCTGTTTTATCGGTTAGACCCAGAGAAATGACAAAATCTGTGTCCAGCACACAGATAGTTGATAGCTATTTGATTTTTAGATTGACAGCATGGGGAATTGGAATCCAAAAATTAAGACTGGGGAGAATGGGCCTACGTTCAAGTGCTGACTCTGACATTCTTGGTATATGGCCAAGAGCAGGACCCTCACTCAGCTAGTTCTTCATTGCTTTTACCTAGAACATGAGGAATTTTGCAGGTAAAGAGAGTCTGTGCGACACTATCTGACCCTGAGTTGTTCAGTGAGAATGACCAAATTTGAACAAAGCTTGTATAATAAAGGGCTTTGCCAATTTTAAAGTTCTACACACATGCTAGTTGATACCATGTCTCTTGTTTGTGCTGTGATGGAGGAAAACTTCTACCCTCCAGTGCAGGGAGGGCACCCCTTCACCTGGGGAATTCATTTCCTGCTTTCAGGGGGACAGAGGAGAGTCAGTGTTCTTCTTGCATCTATTGTTTCCTGAAAAACTTTAATTCAAAATAATCAACATGCCAAAGTCTCCTATTTGGGGGCCACCCACCCTGAATCCCATCAGTGCCCAATTTCTGTTCAAACCCTTCCTTCCTAACCTCTTGCCATCCGTTCATTTTCCCATTCTATTCCCTGATGAGCAGCCAAGTTCCCCATCTTGTTACCTTCTGGGACCTCATCTCCCACCACTCTCCGTTCCCTTAGCCATCACACGTGCCCCTTGTTGTGTTCAAACATTCCAATGTTACGTTATTTGCCTGAGGACCTTTGCACTGTCTGTTCTCTGCCTGAAGCCTGTTCCCACACATGGCTTGTTCCTTAACTTCCTTTACTTCTTTAAAGTCATGTAACTTTCTCCTTGATGCCTTCCTTCATGACCCTCATTACCCGATTTAAAATTGTAAATCTCCCCCACACCTGGCATCCCCGATTTCTCATTCCCTGTTCTATTTTTTTCCCCATGGCCCTTATTGCCAGATAATATACTATATAATATACTTATTTATTGTTTGTTTATACCTCCCCCCTAAAAAGCGTATATTATACAAGGGTGGGGATTTTTTTTTCTTTTTGTTTTCTGCTATACCTGCAGCACTTGGAACAGAGTGAGTCACAGACTAGGTGTTCGATAAATACTGTTCAATAAATAGGGTTGAGTAAGTGAATGGGTCCCATGCCCTGGTACAAAATTTCTCACACCACTGAACTCTGATTAGGTTGCAAAGACGAAAAGTCAAGCTGGTATTATACTAAAGCAGGGGGAAAAAAACCTCTTGAGAAGGAAAACAATAAGAATGCTCACTCTTTTGATGATGTCTAAGCTTGGAACAATGTTGTTTTTTTCTTTTCCTGGTGAGTTTCCTAGCAAGTCAAAGCTCCATCTGATCAGGGTCAACTTCAAAGGTGTCTGACTCATTCCACAACCTTCTTTACTGGTCACTTTTGTTTGTTTGTTTTTTCTGTTTTTAAAGATCTATTTGTTTGAGAGAGAGAGAGAGAGAGGACGTGGAGGGCAGGGCAGAGGGGGGAGAGAGAGAATCCCAAGCAGACTCCCCGCTGAGCTCAAGGCCAATGTGGGGCTCCACCTTACAGCCCTGAGATCATGACTTGAGCCAAAAATCAAGAGTCGGACGCTTAACCAGCTGAGCCACCCAGGTGCCCCTACCAGTCACTTCCTACTTGCCTGCAGAGTGAATCTTCCTCTGGTGGAAAGACAAATTGCACACTTCAATCGTATTGCTATTTCCTTTCACAAGAGACTTCCTATCTATTTTGAGGCTTACAAAAGATAGATTTTTACAAATGTCACAGAATTTTGTATTTGTTCAATGCTTTCATTCCAGACTTTCTAAATTCTTCATAAATATTGGTCCTCAGACTCTCCCAGCTCTCCTCTGACAGCCACATGATAAGCAGATTTCCTATAATTTCTGCTAGGTGATTTAAAGTCATCTGCTGCTAGCAAGTATGGAGCCAGGAGACACAGTGCCTTAAGGACTGAGCTCTACTTGAATCCTGGAAAACGTGGCTTGGCAGCTCCAGTGACTTAGTGGCAGGCAGCTGTGCTGCACCCAGAATCTTGCCTGGAGACGGGAACTTAGGAGAAGGGCCCCAGTGTCTTCCTCTGTCAGAGGACGGACTTGATTTCACCATCACTCAAGCTTCTTACAGCTTCAACGGTTTTGTGATTGTCAGACACCTGATGGCCAGTTTTCCACTTGGATAGCCTAAACTTCTTTTTTTTTTTTAATTATTATTTTTAAACATTTTAATTTATTTACTTGAGAGAGAGAGGTGGGGGGCAGAGGGAGAGGGAGAAGCAGACTCCCTGCTGAGTAGGGAGCATGACACGGGGCTCGATCCCAGGATCCCGAGATCATGACCTGAGCCAAAGGCAGACACTCAACGGACTGAGCCACCCAGGTACCCCTAGATGTCCTAGGCTTCTTTAAGCTCAGCTTGTCCCCCCAAAATCATCTCACCACCATAAGCAATGATTTCTTCTCCTGACTTTCCAGGCTCTGAACCCAATTTCAAATCCTAGAGTGACTTTCAGTTCAATCTTTCCCTGCAGTTTAACTAGTGCTTCTCAAACTGTAATGCCCATATGAATCACTCTGGGGACCTGGTTAAAATGTATACTCTGGTTCAGTAAATCTGGGCTGGGGCCATAGACTCTGCCTATCTCTGAAGTTTCCAAGTGATGCTGAAGCTGCTGGTCCTAGAACTGTGCTCTGGGCAACAGTGCCCTAAACCAACCTACTCTCAGCCCCACTTCTACCCCACTGCATCCAGTCCATTGCCAGCTAACTTTTATTTTTCCTGTGAAGCATATCCTTATGTATGCTTTCCTCTCATTCTCACTGTGCTCCACTTCCCACTCAACTCCTTATCACTTCCCACCCCACCCAGGTTTTACGCCTAGATAACTTCAAGAGCCAAACTGTGGGAACCCATTCATTAATGAGTTCTAAAATCAATCTATTGGGTAGCTAGCAGCATTTATAAAACATGGATAGATTAGGATAGAATAGAATAGAATAGAATAGAATAGAATAGAACCAGAGTGTATCATACATAATATATTTATGGCTTGGGCATGATGCAAAATATATTTCTTGCTATGGATAGAGGTATAAAAAAAAGTTTGGGTCAGGGGGCGCCTGGCTGGCTCAGTCAGTGGAGTGTGCGACTCTTAATCTCAGGGTTGTGAGTTTGAGCCCCATGTTGGGTGTAGAGATTACTTTAAAAAGGTGAAGTCTTGAAAAAATAATAGTAAAGAAAAAAATTCATTCCACGTCTGAAGACCAAGTTCCTACAGAGACACCTAGGCCTCCCTGCATCCGGACCCAACATGCACTTGACCATAGGCTCAGCTTTCTAAATCTCTACTGCATCAGTTCGACTCCTTCTTCAAGAACCTTCAGTGTTGCTTCATTGTCCAAACAAAGTTCAGATATGTCAGCCTGAATTTCCAGGCCCTTTTCAACCTGGCCCCACGTGGCTTTCAAGCCTGATTTCCTACTGGTTTTGTGCCCAGAACCAGCCCTGTCCTGCATCGGGGAGCCTGCCTCACTGTCCGCCAAGCCTGCCTGCTGTGTTCCCACCTTTGCACATGTTACTCAGGCTGTCCTTTCCCCGGCACCTCCGCTGAAATCACATCCATCCTTCAAACCTGCTTTGGCTCCTGTTTCCCCTGTGGGGGGTAATGCTTTCATCCTCAATCTTTCCCCCCCAGAAGTGGTATCTTATCACTGGGCTCTTCTCACACAGAAAGCATTCACTCTTTCTTGCCTCAGTAGGTGGATGTTCTTCTCATCACGTTCACATCTGGACTGTAAATTCCAATGAAAGCTGGAACCCCTGTGCCTGTCATTGTTACTTGGTGAGCTTGCTCACCTGATTTGCCTCTCTGTGGCTCACTTAAAAAGGAGGAGGTCTCCATCATTATAAGGATTAAATGAGTTAACACATGGAAAGTGTTTAGTGTCATGCTTGGCATACAGTAAGCGCTCCGTAAATGTTAACTGTTATGATGCTGTCGGCAGAGTGCCTATCACATCCCTTGTTCGCAGTAGACACACAATAGATGTTTGTAAGTGAATAAATTAGCGCCTATTAAAATGATTCCCCTAAAAGTTTCTATTTCCGTTGTGACTGCTCCCCACTTCCCTCAATTCATCCGCTTCTGGGAACTGCGTCTTTACGTGGGCAATTTAAAGACTCAGTGGGAGGGCTCACGATTAGCATGCAAGTAGACTGTTAGCAGCTCCTCTCACAAAACCCAAGTCTAGTCCCAGGAACTGCCCTGTGGAGCAGAAAGCTAGCCTGTCAGAAAGAGCTGAGGGTGGAGAGTGCAGGCCTGGGCCTTCTGGCCAGGCTTATACTCCCCAGGCACCTCCTCCTGGTCCTTCCTGAAACCTGACTGACCCGCTGGACCCAGCACTTGCCTCTCAGAAACTACCTCTCCCATTTCCTTTTCCCACTTGACTTCTCTTCCATACCCTCAAAACTCTTCCTTTTACCTTCTTTCCCCTCTCCCTAAGTATAAGGTTAAAAAAAAAAAAAAAAAGAGGGTGACTGGGTGGCTCAATCAGTTGAGTGTCACACTCTTGGTTCTAGCTCAGGTCACCATCTCAGGGTGGGGACATGAAGCCCAGCATCCCAGGCTCCGCACTCAGCAGGGGGGTTTGCTGGAGATTCTCCCTCTGTCCACCGCGCACCCCCGCTCACATGAATGTGTGCTCAGGCACTTTCGCTCTCTCTCAAATAAATACATATATCTTTTCTTCTCGAGATTTTATTTTATTTATTTGACAGAGAGAGACACAGTGAGAGAGGGAACATAAGTAGGGGGAGTGGGAGAGGGAGAAGCAGGCTTCCAGCAGAGCCCGGGGCTGGATGCGGCGCTCTACCCCAGGACCCTGAGCCGAAGGCAGATGCTTAAGGCCTAAGCCACCCAGGTGCCCAATAAATAAGTCTTAAAAAAAAAAAAAAATAGAAAGAGAAGAAAAGAGGAAAAGAAAGCCAGAAAAGGGAGGCTGTGACTCAGGGGACACCTTGCCCTCTGGCTCACGGTGGGGGCGGCGGGGGGTGCGCACCAGGAAAGATGGGTGTGCTGGCTCCTGAGCCACCACCGTCCACAGGGTGGATTTCACAGGTTACTGAACGGCATTCATACACCAGCCTCCTCCGTGAAAGATCTTTTCAAAGTTTTGTGTAAACAAAGCAAAACTCAAGCTGGCAGCGACGACAGAAATAACAGCCCACTGCCATCCCGCCGCATTTTTCAACTTTTGAAAGGAAAGCGACGGTTCACGCCAAAGTAGCTAAGGCAACCTGGAATCGAGGCACCTAGCCATGTTGGCTATGGACTGGGAGTTACCCTAGCACGGGAATGTGTCCTTCGCTCTTCTCCGACTGGGTCAAGGGCGGCTCTCTCCCAAGGAGTGACGTGTGGGTGAGAGCTTGTTGCCTCCCGGAGCAGAGACCCGCCCCAGGCTCAGCAGCCAAGCCCAGCGGCTCTTTCTAATGCTCCCGTTTTGTCTGCTCCTGATGCAAGCTCAACCTCCGCGGGGTCCCTTGGAAAGTTTCCTCTTGCAGAATCAAGCCAACCTCCTTTGCCTACAGATGGTTCTGTTTTTATCCACGGGAGTTTTATGGGTCGGCGATGCCACGTCTGGAATTTCAGCCGTAGCTATACGAGAAGTTTCTTGTGAGCAGACGCGTGTGTGCTTCTCCCCCCCCCCCCCCCCCCCCCCTCAGTAAGTCGGACAAAAAAAAAAAAATATGTCAGGAAAAGGAAAAGCTGGATCTCAAAAAAAAAAACGAACAAACAAACAAAAAAACAATCAACAACCAACCATCACCACCACCACCACCACCACCACAAAAAATACCGAGTGGACACAGAAGCTATGAAAGCAGCATACCTCAAAACCATATTGGTACAAAAGGATTTTTCCCCTCAAATTGGTTGATACTATACATACAGTCATATTTATTTCTCTGCCAAAAGCCTAATTTGTAACTAGTCTTAGTCCTGCCCTCATTCTACATCTCGTTTCAGACACATTTCCTGGTTTTCTCTCAACCTCAAAGCGTTCCTCGACCAGGAACAAATGATTTATGGGTCAGAAATAAGCGGTTTCCAAGCTCAGGGACCACAAAGGTCTTCATCAGACCCAGAGCTGAGTCAGAGATGAGCCCAGAATTTTTTTTTTTTTTTCATTATATATTGCTCAATTCCGGTGACACCATTCCCTCCTTTAACTATTTTCATTCTGCACTTTGGGTCTTTTTCCCCTCAAAGGAGACTAAAACAACAACAACAACAAAAACCAATGGTCTCACCATGCATTCACTCTAATTATAACTTCGTTACTTGAGAACCAGGAATCACATACTTGCATCCCACCAGCAGGCTGAGGCTGCAGAATCTGGAAAAAAAAGAAAAGCAGACAAGAAAAGATAATGCCATTGCTGGGTGGGTGTTCAGGGCTCTGTGACATTTCCTTTCTGGTTCCTCCCATTTGTAATTTTAACAATTTGTGAGAAAGATGAACGATAGACAATGAATCAAACTAAAACATATGGTGAGGGTTATAAAGCGAGGCTTTTCTCCAGTGACACCTAACAGTAGTGAAGGTTATAATTGCAATGGCAAAGACAACACAGAAAATCAAAAAATGAGCTTGTATGAATCACGTTTTTATGACACTGATGGCTTCCTTGACTCATTGTCATCCCCGATGAGGAGCAGATCAGAGCCATAAATCCATTTAGCCATTTGCTGTTCTTTCTAGTTCATAATAAAGTTGTCAAACTGTGAGACCAATTGAACTCTTTCCAGAGGTAAGATCTATCATGGATGTTATTTTTCCATTTTCTTCTCACAGGCCATCACGACTGGTATACTTCTGCTGTTGGCTCACAAAGAGTGGACCAAGAGATACCTGGTAAATATACAGACACCGAGGAGGATGATTGAATAGGTTTCAAGGTCAAATCTCTACCAGTTCAGGATGGAACATAGAGAACGTGATTTCCAATTATCATTGAATTCTGTCTGATTGATCCTTACTATAATGGGTTTCAGGAGTAAACTGGGTGTTAAATGGATAATTTTTATCTGATTTCTTCTCCAAACATTTTCTACAAGTTCCTGTGATTACTGTAAATATTTAAGTGTTCCAATTTGGAGAGGACACCACCGATGTTAATGCTCCTGAATTTTATTTTGAATAAATGGACCCTTAGGGCTCCTCTGTTTTTAAGCATGTCTTTTTAAGGCTCAGCTCCTCAGTTTGGGATGTCCTTCCAATGTCTCTGTTACTTCTCCCCCTAAAAAAGGATGAAAAGTCCATGATATCTTGCACTTCAATAGTATGGAGCCAAGTAATCCCATAGTATAAAAAGACTACCTTGATCTGATCATAGATCTTCCCGTGGCTCAAACTTGAATATACGTGTGAATCACTGGGGAATCTGGTTAAAATGCAAAGTCAGATTCAGTAGATCCGGGTGAGGTGTGAGATTCTACATTTCTAACAAATTCAGGGGTTGTCAGTGCTGCTGAATCATGGACCATGCCCTCCCTGATTAACAAGGTGCTAGGATAAGGCAAGGATTCTGTGTACTCCTGTTTGTTTTTCCCACCCCAGACTGGCTTCAACACATGATACAAGCAAAATAAACACATGTTTCTTGAATGGAATTAATTTCATTTTTGGCCCAATTGGCTAATATGTTATTCTCCCATAGTGTAGATTCAAGAGGCGAACAAAAGGCCTAAAAGGGAATGTTGTAATTCATTTCTCCTTAGCTTCCCAATAAAAGAGATTCATACCTGACATCTTCCTTCTTCATATTGCTGAAAAGCTTTTGAAGAATTCAGTTCCCAAAGTAACACTTTGTTTTTGCTTTATTTTCAGTGGGAAGCTAGTTTCACCTTTGTGATTCTGAGCATGATGGGATGTCCACTTCATTTTGCTGTAGCCTTGGAATCTGTTCTCCTTGGCCCATATTGCTTCTACTCGTTTTCAGGGATAGCAGGGACTGATTACCTTGGTTATGCAATTGCCTTTCCTTTTCCATATGCAAGCTTCCCATCAGCTTGTGTGGACCCGCTGCACTATGAAGAGTACCACCTGACCCTTCAAGCCTTCGACCTGTGCCTGAGCTTTGCCATGTTCTGTGTGTCCTTGACAGTGTTCATCAAGCTTTCTGCAGGACTGATCTGGAAGACACACTTACACGTAAGTTTCCAGAAAGGGAGAACCCATTCTTAGCCCTGAATGCTAAAATGGAAAGTCTGCCATATAGTTCTTAATCTGCCTCTCTTATTTATCATTGGATCTCGTATAACCAAAATTTTCTCACCCTTTCTACTTCTGCCCCAGCAGAGAGGCTGATCTATACCAACATCAAATTTAGCTTTCTTACTTTTTCCCTGGATGGCTAAGAATAATATTGATAATATGATAGCAATAGAAATATGAACTGAATGTTTACTACCAGTGTCCTTCCCATTTTACAGATAGTAGACTGAAGCTAAGAGTTTATGTAACTTCCCTAAGGTCACACAGCTAATGAGCAGTAGGGCCAGATTTAAAACCCAGAACTATTTCTCATAATAGGACAGATCTATCCTAAGCCCCCTTGTCACCCACCTTGTACCCTCTCTCCTCTGCTAGATCACCAAGATGTGTGGATCCGGCCTCCAGGAGGGTTAGAACAGAACTACTGGGCAAGATTTCTGATTCCAAATTCCTATGTCTGATACTGGGTCACTCCATTATGAGTTGAATAGCCTCCTCCTGGAAAGAGATATTTCCCACAACAAACTCTTCTTCTGGCTTTATGATTCAAGTTAGTATTATATTAAGGCCAGGTGAATTTGAGTTATGTTAGCCAATTTTTTTCCCAGTTTGATCCTATCAACACAAATCAGCAAAGTTGGAAGACAAGAACTTGGCACTCTCTATACCTTTTGTGGTCAGTCTTGTCCTCTTCAACTTCTACATAAGTCTGCAAAGGAAATCCTGTACATTCTTAGGAACAGAGTTGATTTTACGAGGAGGCCTACTGAGAATTGAGGCTGGCAGACAAAAATTACCTCCCCTGCTATACTGCCGGTACATCTAGGAGTTTAGAATGTAGAGATTTCTCCCTGGTAGGGACCATCCCAACTTCTTAAAGCCCTTTGTTAAAATGAACATAAACCCAGGAGAATCATACATTAAAGCATTGGTTACCCATAACCCTTTGGCATGCATAGCTAATCAGACGATTGGCTGCCATCTCGGACATGACACCCGAGGTTTAACATTGGCTAGAGAGCAGAGAGAAAAGAATGAAAAAAAAATCCTTAGAGCTTGGTAAGTCAGCCTCATGGAAACCCAATAGTGAGGCCATCTAAAGCGCCTGGAAAGAGAAAAAATTAATTGAAAACAGAGCAAAGTTCTCCAACTTTAGAATATCGCCTTCACCTACCTTGCTCAGATGGTAGGTTCTTGGTGTGTGATTTTTTTTTTTTTTAAGATTTTATTTATTTGTTTGTCAGAGTGAGCACAGGCAGACAGAGTGGCAGGCAGAGGCAGACGGAGAAGCAGGCTCCCACTGAGCAAGGAGCCCAATGTGGGACCCGATCCCAGGACGCTGGCATCATGACCTGAGCCGAAGGCAGTGGCTTAACCAACTGAGCGACCTAGGCGTCCCTGGTGTGTGATTTCTAAACTAGGGATAGGACACAACACAACTACAATATATTTCTCAAAGTGGATCAATGACATCAGAATCACCCATGGATCTTGTTAAACCATATTTCTGGCTTCTGTCCTGGCCCATTCTTTTTTTTTTTTTTTTTTTTAAAGATTTTATTTATTTATTGTTTATTTATTTGACAGAGATAGACACAGCAAGAGAGGGAACACAAGCAGGGGGAGTAGGAGAGGGAGAAGTAGGCTTCCTGCGAAGCAGAGAGCCCGATGTGGGACTCGATCCCAGGACCCCAGGATCATGACCTGAACCGAAAGCAGATGCCCAATAACAGATGCCTGACCTAAACTGAAGACAGACCAGGCGCCCCAAGTCCTGGCACATTCTTAGGGCAGAAACGCTGGGCTTGAAGTCAGGGAATATGCATTTTTAACACATGCCCCAGGAGGTCCTGGTGAAAATTCTCTTCCTAGCACAGGATTCTCTTAGTGTAACTTCTGGACAGAATTTCCGTTTTCCCCTCTGTGTAAAATGCAGCACTAGTTTGGGTAAGAGTTCTCAATAAATTTAATAAACAGCAAATCTTTGGTGAGCATTTTTGGATGACCTGACACCACTTAATCCATAATGGTACCAGATCATGTTTCATTAGCAAGGATGAGTGGCTGACACAATGGGATAGGAGTTTCTGTATTAATAAATACACCATTGCCCCTGAGCACAGAAGGAGCATGTGCAGCTTGCACAAGCCTTTGTTACCATGTGGGACACCTTGGTGGCTCAGTAGGTTATCTGACTCTTGATTTCAGCTCAGTTCATGATCTCATGGTTGTAGGAGAGAGCACCACGTCAGGCTCTGTGATCAACATGGACTCTGCTTGAGATTCTCTCTCTCCTCCTCTGCCTCTGCCCCTCCCCCGACTTGCACTCACTCTCTCTCTCTCAAAATAAATAAATAAAATCTTAAAAGAAAACACAAACCTTTGTTACTATGTTACCATGTAGAAATCTCAGCTATATGAGGTGCAATTTCTAGAAAACACACAACTTTCTTAGAAGAAATGGCAGGTCACTTGTTAGGATATAGAATTCTACATGGTGATTCTACCTTTAATGAGTCTCCATATAGTTATATTGTTAGGTTCATGCTGAAAGAGATAAGCAATACTTTTACTTTTTATTTATTTTTAAGTGTTTTATTTAAATACAATTTAATTAACATAGATTGTATTGTTAGCTTCAGAGACAGAATTCAATGATTCATCAGTTGCAAACAAGGTCCTGTGCTTGTTACTTCAAGTGCCCTCCTTAATGCCCATCACCTATCAGGAAACTCGAGAGCTATGCAAATTTGTAAAAAAGGAAAAAGTGATAGTTTGATGGAAGATTTGGAGGAAATTATAGTTGTATTGCTTTATAGAACAAAATTTTTTTCATATCTGTAATAGTCAATATTTTGATGGAAAATATTCTTTTCTAGGAATTCTTCTGTAAGTTCAGAAACAAACCAAACACTCCCTTAGGAATCACCTTTCATTATTTCTCTGCTCTCTGTGCCTTTTCAGTTTAGGAGAATTGAAGTGCATCCCCGTCAGCTCAAGCTATTATAACAAAATACCATAGACGTGGTAGCTTAACCAACACATTTATTTCTCTCCGTGCTGGAGGCTGGAATCCCAGGGTCAAGGTACCAAGATGGCTGGTCTTTGCTGAGGCCTCTCTTACTGGCTTGTGGACAGTTACCTCACTGTGCGCTCACACGACCCTTCCTGTGCCTGGTCTTGGACAGAGAAGATCTCTGTCCCCATCTTATATGGACACTAATCCCATCATGGGGGTCTCATCCTCATGACCGCATTTAAATTAATTACCTCCCAAATAACTTACCTCCAAAGACCATCCCAGTGGGGATTAGGGCTTTAATGTATGGATTTGGGAAGGAAACACAAACAGTTGATAGTATCTCATTGAAGGTCACACAGTGTTGGTGTGTGAGCTGCAGTCATTTGGTACCCAACCAAAACCACAGTGAGAAATGTTTGAAAGAGGCATAAAGGGTGTGATGATTTTGATAAAAGCATTATACTAGCACTACAAGACTGAATGTTTGTGTCTCTATGAAACTCCCAAACACCCACTGTGATGGTATTAGGAGGTGGGGCCTTTGGGAGATATTTAGGTTTAGTGAGGTCAGGAGGGTAGAGCTCCCATGATGGGATTAGCTTTCATGATGCCCTTATCAGAAGACGAGGAGGCCAGAGTTGTCTCTCCCCCCTAGGTAGGGAGACAGCAAGAAGGTGGCCATCTGCCAAATAGGAAGAGGGCTCTCACCAGTCGCTGAATCTGCTGACACCTCGATCTTGGCCTTCCAGACTCTAGAACTGTGAGAAATTGTTGTTTAAGCCACCCAGTCTATAGTAGTCGGTGACAGCAGCCCCAGCTAAGACCGCGAGCCCTTCCAAGTTTCCAGGGCTCATGGGAAGAGGTGGAACTGGAAAAGGAACGTGAGCCCCCCTTGTGTGGCTCCCTGCAGCACACTGAGGTGACCTTCTCCGCTGAGGACTCAGGGCAGGGGGCAAAGAGCACCCCATAGGATTAAGTCGAGAAACCAAAACGCAAAACAACCATAGCCCAAATTGTCTACATTCTTGGTCCAGTAAGTAATAAAGGGATGGGAAAGGAAAGAATTGGGACACCAGACGCGCGGCAGCTGTGGCCAGCAGCTACTCTGCCCCTCCCCCACGGAATGGACCGGCTCCGTCTGTTTTCCTTTCATTATTCATTGTTATGTTTGGGGTTTTGCATTCTTTTTTTTTTAATGAAAGGGGAAAGAAAATATTTTGCCCCTTATCATGTGATACAGTGGTTTTCTTTCTTTTTTATTTTCAATGAATTGAGAAATATTTACTTCCCATAAAAGATGTAGGTAAACCCTTTAAAGAGTTCAAAAACATATGAGGACAGCATATTTACCAGTGGAGGAGGAAACTCTTCTTCCAAACAAAAGACAAATTTGCAGAAATACATCGGCTCCAAATCTTCTAGCGGACGTACCCGGTATCATTAGCAACAGAAATGCGTTTTGAAACAAATTCATCTTCGACTCTTTCCCTAAGGGTCTGAAACCTCAGGTCGGGCTTTAGCAAGTTCTCTCTGGTGCTTCTGGGAACTAAATCCCCTCGGGGAGAGTCAAGTCAGCCTCAGGGAGGGCCACACAATAGTCAGAATCCACTGTATTTCTTCCTCACAAGCTCCTTTCTGTGTCTCCTCAACACGGTCAACAGAAAAATCAGAATCTAGAAAAATAATTGCAATCCTGGACATTAGTGTTCCCTCTATCTCACTATGTCATCTGGAATAATAATGGTGGGGATGTGAGCCCACCTAGGAGCAGAGTAATTGGAGGTGCTATTTATGGGACAGTTACTACTTGTCAGGTGATTTCCCTCCTCCTTCCTTCCTCACAACCCCACAAATCTCATCAGCCCCGTTTCACAGATGACGACGTTGAGTTGGTCAGGTGGAGTCAGGATTCGCTCCCAGTGTCAAAGGGTCTTAGACAGTGTTTCTTCAGCTTTACAGACTCGAAGTGGCTTTGTGTAGGCATGCTTTTTTCTTTTTTTAAGATTTTATTCATTTATTTGACGGGCAGAGATCACAAGTAGGCAGAGAGGCAGACAGAGAGAGAGAGAGGTGGAACAAGGCTCCCTGCTGAGCAGAAAGCCCAACTCGGGGCTCTATCCCAGGACCCTGGGATCATGACCTGAGCTGAAGGCAGAGGCTTTAACCCACTGAGCCACCCAGGTGCCCCTGTAGGCATGCATTTTGTGGGCAGTCTTTCTTATGTTTCTCACAGAAAAAAATTAACTCACGTATAGAAATGGAAGCTTTCTCTTCCAGGGTATTTTCATTTCATTTAATCAGTGAGACCACACCAAGGCTGAGAGCGACTTAACGAAGAAAGGAAATGAGACCAAAGTTGTCTATTGTGATGTATTAAAATTAACTCGATATTTTGCCAAAGCAGAAGCAATAAATAAGGAGGTAACTGGACAACTGTTTTTTCTCAGTTTTTACTTTATAATCATTGTGAACATCAGCATGTTTTCCTTTTGACATTCAGTTAGTTTAATCTTTTAATACAAAATATTCTACTGGGTTTTTCTCCCCTCCCTTCTTACTTTTAATCTAAAATGGTATTATTATGGGGCCTCTGGGAGGCTCAATCAGTTAAGCATCTACCTTCGGCTCAGGTTGTGATCTCAGGGTCCTGGGATCGAGCCCCCCATCAGGCTCTCTGCTCAGCGAGAAGTCTGCTTCTCCCTCACACTCTCCTCTGTGCTCTCTCTCTCTCTTTCTCAAATAAATAAATAAAATCTTAAAAAAAAAAACACAGAAGAAGTTTTGGCTTTATAAAAGGGCAGAAACTTGAGTAGAAATCAGAAGACCCCATTCTCTATAATCATATAAATTCGGTTTCAACAAAGAAAACTGAATTAATACCTAGTGAATAGTTCAGAATGGCTGTAATGGTGCTAAGATGTGAACAGGAAACCATTTAGCAAAGTAACAGTGTTGGTTGGACATTTTGCACTGTATTAAGTACCCAGGAGAATATGCAGGGGTTGTTGCTGGGTGTTACGCGGTTCATTCCCCCAGGAAAGAGAGAGACACAGAAAAAGTAACTAAGATAAAACACAATGAAGGCCATGAGGGGTAAGGAATGACACGATGTCACTTCTCTCCCAGACTAGCCCTACAAGCCAGGGACTGTGGACAAGGCAGTGGTTCACCCCTGCACACATCAGTAGTTGTGGACTTGAACTTCTTCATCTCTAAGACAGCCGGGCTTGGTCAGGCACATCCAAAGACCTTTCCAGCTCTGTCTCAGTCTTTGATTTCCTTCCTTCCTTCCTTCCTTCCTTCCTTCCTTCCTTCCTTCCTCTCTCTTTCTTTTTCTCTCTTTCTCTCTCTCTTTCTTTCTTTCATTCAGATTTTATTTATTTGAGAAAGAGCACAAGTGGGGGGGGAGGGCAGAGTGTGAGGGAGAAGCAAACTCCATGCTGAGCAGGTAACCCAACATGGGGCTCTATCCCAGGACCCTGAGATCATGACCTGAGTCCAAGTCAGACACTTATCCAACTAAACCACCCAGGAGCCTCTCTGTCTACGATTTTCAAATAAAACTTTATTCCACTGGAGAAGATTAACATTCAGAAGAGAGGACTGTTGGTAGCAAGGAGTGGCTCTTTTCTTGTTCCAAACCATGCTGATGTGTCATTGTGGTACATCACACTGCCTTTACTCTGCTAGCTCAAGAAGTAATATATGCCAACAATATTATTCAAGCGAGACAGGTAGGAGAGTTGTTACAGATACACAGATCACTATAATCACTTTAGAAAAACAACTTTCTTTGCTCACTATTCAATCTGTTGGGGCACCTGGGTGACTCCCACTCTTGATTTGGGCTCAGGTCATGATCTCAGGGTTGTGAGATCAAGCCCCATGAAGGTCTCTGCACTGAGCATGGAGCCTGCTTAAGATTCCCTCTCTCCTTCTCCTTCTGCCCTCCCTGGCTTGCACCACTCTCTTAAAAAAAAATTCAATCTCATATCAAACCAACCAGAATTGTCTTGTTGGCTGTCTTTCTTTTTTAATTATTCAAGTACAATTAATATATAGTGTTATATTAATTTTAGGGTATGATATAATGATTCAACAATTCCATATATTTCTCAGTGTTCAGCAAGGAAGTGTACTCTTTGTACTCTTGATCCCCTCTATCTATTTTCCCCATCCCCCCACCACCTCCCCTCTGGTAGCCACCAGTTTGTTCTCTGCTTAAGGGTCTGTTTTTTTCAGGAGTCTCTTTTTTTAATTTCTTCTGTTTCTTAAATCCAACATATGAGCGACATTGAATGATATTTGTCATTCTCTGATTAGCCTATTTTCCTTAACGTTATACCCGCTAGGTCCATCCGTGTTGTTGCAGAACTTACCATTGTATTTCTAAATAAGTAAGGAACTTCAAACTCCAGTTGATTTGCAAAAAATATTGTTCCAAATGTTTTTTTTTTTCCCTCTGATTTCATATGACTAACCTAGTGTCATGAATTAAAAAGAAAGCTGCTACTTAAAGCAATAGAATTACTTGGCACTGGCTGGTAATTAGAGCCTATTTGAGAAGAGGAATATCTTGGGTTCACTAATATGTGACTTTCCTCTTATCATGTGTTGAGGAATATAGCTCCAAAGCCCTAAATATAACATTCATTGTTTATACTTGCCTCTCAACATTTATTGAGTATATATTATGTGCCAGATATTGTGTGAAAGGCTAAAGGTAGAGACAGAAGTGTGAATAAGGCGTAGTCTGGTCCTCCACTAACTTACAGGAACTGAAGGAAAATGTCCCCTAGGGTAGGAGGACCAAGAGCCCAGATGAGGAATAATGAAATTTGAATTAGGTAGTGCTAATGGGCATGGAGAAGAGGTGATACATTTGAGAGATATTTAGAAGGTAGAATCAACAGGACCTTATAGCAGTTAGCGTGTGGGACAAGGAAGGAGCCCAGGGAGTTGTAGAGGGGTTTCTTGACCATGAGAGACAAGACAGAGTTATTGGATTTAATGTGTGAGCCCTACTCTTGTCACTTAGGGTTAATTCAGTTTCACATCTTATCATTTATAAAAAGCCATTTTAAGAACCTAATAGAAGGCACCAAGAGTATTTCTGCCTGGGATTCTAGCAAATGAGGTTCTGAAGCTTGCCACAGGACACTCCCTGGCTTTAGTTAGTCACGTATCAGTTACAAACAACGCATTGCTTTGAGTTCATAATAAACCTAGTGCTGAAGAGCATGGGCCATAAGACCATTTCAATCTAGGCCATATTTAACAACTTATCTCTTCTTTTCTTCTACTCATGCTCTCATGGCAAAGATTGCCAATGAAAACCTGTACATAGCCAAGCCCAATGGAGTCTTTTCAATCTGCGTTTTCCTTGACCTCTCCACTGCCTTTGAAACTGTTGACTGCTTTCTTCATGAAATCCTCTCCCCTTTGACTTCCACACATCACTGGCTTTGGTTTTCTTCCTTCTCCAAAGCTTTTCCTCCTCAGTCTATCCAAAGGCTCCTTTTCTCTGCTTACTTCTTTAAGGCTGGTGGCCTCAGTCATCATCTTTGGGCTGATACCTCACACATCCATATTTATAGCCCAGTCCCTTCTCCTGCTCTATTGAGCTCTACATTGGACTATTTTCTGGGCACTTTCCTGGGTGTCCCACACACACACATCAAACTCAAGATGTTTATAACGGAGCTGATCATCTCCTTGTCCCCACCACCTGCTCGTCTTCCTGTATCTCCAGCTCAGCTGCCAGCACTCATGACATTCAGGACAAGACTAAGACCTAAAGTCATCCTTGACTCCTCATACCTCAGTTGATCACCACATCCTGGCAACTGCACCTCTTAAATATTTATTCACCGTGTCCCCCTTTCTCTGTACTGACCAGGGTGGCCCTGGTTCAGCCCTCTGTCTTCTCTTACTCAGATATCTTTGCTTCCAATCTTGTCTTTCTTAAGAAGTATCCTCTGCACAGGCTTTAGAATCAGCTCTCCCAAGTTCAAATCTGTTCTTATTACTTCCCTGTGGAGTAATAGTAACAGTATAAGTCATAAATATTATCTTATGCTAATAGTATAAGTAATAAATATTATCTTATTACATCCTTCTGTGCCTCCCCATAACACGCAAGATACAGCCAAGCTCCTTCATGTGATATCCATGTGGGTGCAGCTCCTCTCCAAGAATCTGGACTGACTAAGGTGAGGAGAAAAGGTGGGACTGGGAGTGTGGGGGTCAAAAGAGTAGCAGAGTGGCAGGCTGCAGTACTAGAGGTCACTTTTATGGCTTCCTAGCCATAGTTAAAATTTTACCTAAATACCTATGTCAGTAATATTGCAAATTTAAAAACAACCCACACGTCGCAGGGGAATTTACTGTGGTATTGGAATCCAAGAAGAATTTCCAGGAAGAGAAACAGAGAAAAAGTCGATTTGAATTTCCATACTGAGGAACGGTACCTTATTGAGGAAGCATTGTGTTCGACATTATTTATGACACATGGAGAACCTGATATATGGTATGTTTGAAGTCAGACACTTTGAGGTTTAATTGTTTCCTCCATCACCTACCATCTGAGTAGCCTTGAACAAATCAATATTGAACCTCTTTGCACCAGCGAGACCACACGTACCTCACACGTTGCCAAATGAAATGGTGTAATGACTTTTAAGAGCCTTACATGCGTTGGGCACTTGATAGCTGCTCAAGAAATGCTTGTTTTCTTCCTCTTACTTCTAATCAAATTTAAATTCTTAGCTCTCATTCGAAGATTTTAGAAACTTCCCTCTAATCTTCTGTTAATTTTCCAAAAGCTTCAAACCAACCCAAACTAGACAAAACAAATAGCAAATGACCAAAAAAGATAGTCAATGGAGAGAGCCCTCACTTCCTTAGACAGTCCCTGCCCACAAAAGTAATAGTTCTTCTGAATTGTTTTATGCTTATGCCAGATATTTTATTACACATCTATTTCTTTTTTATATCTTTCTGCCACCCCCCTCCACCAATATCACCAATATTGTTTTCTCTGGTGATTCCTCTTAAATCCTTAAGTGGTATCATGGTGCTGTTACTTGAATCATCCTTCATTGGGCTCCTGTGACATAAAAAAGGCTAAATTAAATGTCAAAAATGACACTCTATTTTCGTTGATAAATTGTAGAAATAAACACTACTTTAATTTTTTTTCTTCCTAGGGTCAAAAGAATGGACAATAAATTTCAAGCAGCATTCCTCTTAAATTTGTTATATTTGTGGCCATTATTTTGAAATATTTGCAAAATAATTTTTTCTTCAAACTTTTTCCTCTATGTTCTTATGAAACAAAAATTGAAATAATTGTACCTTGTAGCCTTTTTAGATTGTTAACCCCATTTTTTCTGATTTACCTGCTATGATTTTTAAAATGGAAATTTTATCATCATTGTCATAAAATTTTAGAATCTGAAATATAAATTCACAATGAATGAATGTTTTCTTTAAATTCCTCTTGTCTCTGTGTGGTGTTTTAGTAAACTGTCAGTCTATATTACCTAAACTAAGGAACCATTTTTCTCACCATTTCTTCATTGCCATTACCAAGGCAACTGTAGATCCTCAAATACAATTAAAACATGGAAGTATAGTCATAATGGGAAGGGCCTCCTGCAGGGGGAGAATGACCCTCCCTTCTGGCCTCTCTGTAGCTTGTCTATGGCACTCATGACAGTTTAATAGTTAGATGGGACCTTAGCTGTTCTCTGGGCCAACTTCTCATTGAAAGTTCCAAGATCTAAATGTCCCTGACAGCTGAACCATTCCCAAGAGGCAACCTCATTCAGCTGTTGCGTGCCTCTAAAGGTAAAGCTGGGGTGCCCAGCTGGCTCACTGGGTAGGGCATGTGACTCTTGATCTCAGCCTTGTGAGTTCAAGCCCTACATTGGGTATAGAGATCACTCAAAAATAAAATCTTAAAAAAAAAAAAAATGTAAGAGGTCTTTCTTAAACTGTCTAGAGATTTGCTTCTTATATTCTCATTGCCATATATTCTTTTTTTTTTTTTTTTAAGATTTATTTATTTATTTTTGAGAGAGAAAAAGGGCACAAGGGAGGAGGGGCAAAGGGAGAGAGAATCCCCAAGCAGACTCCCCGCTGAGCACAGAACCTCACATGGGGCTGGAACTCACAACCCTGAGATGGTGACCTGAGCCAAAAGCCAGAGTCCTCTGCCCAACTGCCCAAGCCACCCGGGCGTCCCTCTATGTCATATGTTCTCACATGTCTCTATGTCTGCACGCCTGCGGCTCTTAATAATACAGCACAGTGGTTCTCACATGGGATTCCCATGCCGGGAGCATCAGCATCACCCAGAAACTTGTATGAACTGGAAACTTGGGGGTTGGGTCCCAGCTGTCTGTGTCAGGAATCCCTCCTCCCGGTGAGTCCGAGCATGCTAAAGCTTAAGAAGCACCCGCGGAGGGTGGCAGAAAGTGGGCGGGACTTCTAAATGAGAAACACCCGGTTTCAGACCCTGGCCCTCTCGTGGGTTTAGGCAAGAGCCTCAGTCTCTCCCTGGTCCTGTGGAACTGATGAGGTTTGCTAACTCTCGGGCTTGCTGAGAGAATTCCGTGGCACTGCAGAGGTATCCCATGCGGCAGACACTCTAACACGACTTAAGCACAAAAATTGCATCTAGAGTCATTGATTCAATTCAGCACATTTATTAGATGCCTTTGAAGGTCTGTTTCTATAAAGTCCATTCATTTGAGAATGCACAAGTACGGAGTGAAAATGTGAGACATCATGAAAATGATGATGTGTAGAGAAGCTAAATGACACGTTCCAGTCCTTGGAACGTATGACGCAGCTCAGTCATTGGTGTCTGGAAGTCCCATAGGGGCCGCCCAGACCTCAGCTCTTCAATTAACGCATGTTCACCTCTCACTTAATGAAGTTACCCGATGTCTAGTTGTGGGTGATTACAGCAGGAGGGATTTAAATTTTATCAGTATACTGTCTGAATTCATTTCCACCTTACTGGAGCATTTCCACCCAGGACTGGGTGCCCCGGAGAGTTATTTATTTACTTCCATTTTGCTTTCTGATTTGCATCCCTCTCTGTTCTAAAAGGGTTTCGGGTGACCATTGGACATTCTCTCAAGAGTCGGCTCTCCAGCCCCTGTGGCCCCCACTGCAGGAACAGTGAGATGCTGTGATTGCTTCCCGGATCTTCCGTGCTCAGCACAATGTGCCCAGTTCCAAGGTCCTGGTGAAACTGTCCAAGACCAAGGGCTTTAGGTTAACTGGGATCCCATGTAAAATGTGTGAAAAATCATATTCCGTTGTCAAGATATATGCGGGGTTATTTCTTGCCTTTGCTTCCACGGAGAAATGAGCAAACGTTTTACTACGCCTTTGCCGGGGAGAACTGAATTGTTACCGCTCACCATCCCATGCCAGAAAAAGTCTGCTTTACCCGGCCTTCCGGAAGGAATAAGGCACCTTTGCTCTCAGATAGCCTGTTTTCAGTTTTGTGCGGCTGATGATATTACTTGACCGGTGACAGAGGCCAAGGCTGGAAAATAGACTGGTTTACTTACAAGTCTTTGAATGTGGACACATCAGCTTGTGGGAAGGAAACTATTTAAAATGGGGCTTAGGGAAAGGGAGAAAAAAAATCCCCTTTCTCCATATGAGATTCTTCCACGGTGTTGTCATGCAATGTTGAAACCTCCTTAGAACAGTGGATCACTCTCATTGGATATATGCAAATTATCTGAGACCCAGTGGTTTCCTGCCAGGCAAAAACTTATAATAACAGAGCAAGAATGCAATCCGAGCCCTTGCTCTCTGAAATCCCTGAAAGAACAGAGTCGTTCTTGACAGGGCAATTTCAGCCCTTGACATTCCAGGAAATAGCTTAATAATGTCATTTAGGCTGGGGTTGTAACCAATCCTAAGACACAGAGACACAAATGGCCTATGTAAGATTTAAAATATCGGTTCAGGAACCACTTTTCATTCTCACAGAGAGTTTAACAACAAAAACACCACCACCACAAAACTAAGCAATGCATCCTAATTAAATTAACCATTGTCCCCACTAATTAAACCCAACCTAGGAAAAAGGAAGGGTTTCTGCCAGGAAATTACAGACACATCCTGACGACTATTTCTTTTCCATTTACTTTCCTAGGTACTAGGTCCATGTCATATCCAGGATGTGAGACCCAAACAAAACTGTTTTTTGATCATTAATGTAGGTGCAGGAGCGAACCCCACCCTGGGGCCTCAAAGGTCTTTATGAGACACGCTGGCCTTTCCATTTCGATGTGTTTCATTTTCTCTGGGTGCAGTGCAGCTGAAAAAGGTTACAAAACTCAGGTTAAAACTCAGGAAGTAGATCAGGGCCCCACACTATGACATCACTCTCTTACAATGCAATGATGCAATGACATTTCCTACAGGAAAATGACTCGAGCTGACAGACAGCCTCAGTTCCCTGCAGTGGAAGGTGTCAGGCCTCCCCCACTCCAGCTCCTGCCTCCTTCCCTCCTGCCCCTTGGCTGGGTATTCTCAGAGAGAGAGAAAGAGATCCAAGCCACTTTCATTTTGCAGCAGTCTTGATACATTTAAAATGAAGGGGTGCTAGAATTTAGTTACAAAAATTGTGGGATTTTTTTTTTTCCTAAAGATTTTATTTATTTATTTATTTGACAGAGAGAGAGAGAGAGAGAGAGAGAGAGAGAGAGCACAAGCAGGCAGAGAGGCAGGCAGAGGCAGAGAGAGAAGCAGGCTTCCCACTGAGCAAGGAGCCCGATGCGGGGCTCGATCCCAGGACTCTGAGATCATGACCTGAGCCGAAGGCAGCGGCTTAACCCACTGAGCCACCCAGGCGCCCCAATTGTGGGATATTTTAACTGTTAAAGCAATTAATGCTTTTAAACAAAACATAGGGTTTTGTCATTCTAAAGACAGTTTCTAGACCTGTTATTAAAAGCGACATATAGGCAGAGTCACAAGGGATGGTTGTACGTGTTGGCCAAAGGGAAGAGCAGGGATTAAAATCTGGTTTGCTCTCTGTTTACCAAACCCTGCTTGCTGGTGCAATACTAGATCTGCACTTTTCTGATTCACACAAACATCTCACCGCCGGTGATAGATGGTCTTGTAACAGACCCAGGTTTAAGTTAAATGATGAATCAGTCTACTGCTTTCAGTCCTGGGTGTCTCTATAGCTGTAGGTATAACACCTTTCAGAGGAATGCCTAGAGGTGCACATTTGAGGACCCGCCTGATTATGAATTCTGGACAAATGAGTCTCCTGCCATAACACCCCAGCACATAGAGAACCTTTGTTGGGGGGTGGGGCTTACAAACAAGTGCTACCAATGAGCTCCCACAGGCTGTGTGGGGGACACGGCTTGGTGAGTAGAAGGTCTGAGCTAGGTCTCAGCCTGGCCAAGTAATTTTATGCTCTAACTGTAATACCGTAATGGCACTCCTCGCCCCCAATATGGTAGATGCTGTTCT